TTATGTTTCATACTGTCCTACAGCTCCTTTAAGCTATCTGCATTCTTTTTAGTCTTTTTCGTTTTGTTGCTCTGACTGGGTGTTTTCTCATGTACCCTCAATTTACTGATTTGATCCTCTGCTTCATCTAGCCTGCTTTTATGTCCTTGTAGTGTATACTTCACTTCAGATATTGTATTCTTCATTTCCTCCTGGTTATTTTTGATACTTCCTATGTCCTTTTTTTTGCTGATGTAGTTCCTTGTCATTCTCATTGAGTTCCTTTAGCATCCTTATAACCATTACTTTGAACTCTTATATCTGAGAAATTGCTTGCCTCAGTTTCATTTAGCACTTTTTCTGGGGATTCCTCCTTTCCTTTCAATTGGTGATTGTTTCTTTGTCTCTGCATTTTAGGTGGCTCTTTTTGTTTGTTTCTGTGTGTTAGATTGAGCAGCTTTGACTCCCTGTCTTTGTTGAGTGGCTTTCTATGGTAGGAATCCTGTGGGACTCAGTGGTGTAGTCTCCTTGTACTCCTGATGTGGATACTCTAGAGATAGATGCCTTTTATGCAGGGTATGTGGCCTCTCTTGTTGTAATTGGGTTTTGGTTGTTGGTGGCTCATTTATTGGTGGGTTCTCACCTCCAGCTGGCTGAGTGTCATAGTCCCCACCATGTCTTGTATGCTATTGTGCAGGAGCTACCAGAACAAAACATCCCAGCAATCAAAAACTACACCAGCAAAAATACCCCTCTCACCCACTACCACAATACCAACAACAACATGAGCTAAGATTGATAAAGGTGGGAAGAAAATAAGAATATTATATGAAATGAAAAAAGAATATGAGGTGACAAACGGAAAGAAAAATGATTATGAGAGGGTAAGGGGAGGAGAAATAAGAGTTGGGAATACAGATAAGGTAAGGAAAATAAAAAATAAAATTTATAAAGTAAATTAAGTAGGAAGGGAATAGGTAAACTTGAATAAGAAAAAGAAAGAGTATAATACAAACTTTGTAGAAAAAAATAATGGAAAAATAGGAAACAGATTGAAGAAAAACAACCACCGCAGCAATATCTATGCCAAAGGAGCCAAGCTTCATAAAGATGGAAAGAAAATAATAGTGTTACAAGAAAGAAAAAAGATTGTGAGAGGTCTAAAGGAAAGAAAAATGACTTTGAGAGGATATAGGGAGGAGAAACAATAAACATATGTATTAGAAATGAGGCTAAAAAAGGGAGAAAATAAAATTTAAAATGAAGGGAAGACAGAGAAGGAGGAAGGCAGAATGGAGTTGGACAGGGGAACAGTGAAAAATGAGATTTAAGAATTTTTAAAAATAGTGAACAACTGGAGGTAAAATTGAAGAAATGCAACAATAACCTTAATATTAATGACAACCGAGGAAATATTAATAAAGGTGGAACTACAATAAGGATATTATAAGAAAGGGAAAAGAATGTGAGATGACTAGTGGAAAGAAAGATGGTTTTGAGAGCATGGAGGGAGGAGTAATGGTAAGAGTGAGGAATAGAAACAAGGTGTAGAAAAGGAAAAAGTAAAATTTAAAACAATAAGAAAGAGAAGGATGAAGACAAAATGGAGTAAGAGGAGGGAAAGTAAAATATGAGATTGCAATTAAAACAAAAAATTATAAAAGTAAAAAATATGTATATATAAATATAAATATTGATATAGTAGCAACAAAATTGAAGACAAAGAAGCAATGTTAAAAAGCTATGCAGGAGAAAAAAATAGCACAATGAAGAATGAGTTGGAATTCATCTCAGCAGAGTCTAGTATGTGTTGGCTTACTGTCTTTTCCTTCAGTATGAAAAAGCTGACATCCTTTCCTAATGTCAGTTAGTGTCATAGTCTAGCTTTAGGCAGCCTGTTTAAGGCTATAAACAGTCTACAGTCTGTGGCTGTCTCCTTCAGGCTTGCTTCATCCATTCTGTTCTGCCCTAATGACTTTTTATCAGCACAAGGCCTAGGGGTAGTTCATCTAATATCTGACAGCACCACATGCACCACTTCCACCTGCTTCCAGAGGGAGCCTCTGGTGCAATCAAGAGGGTGGGATTTCAGGATCAGTCCCCAGGAGGCACTGTTCAATCTCCAGGGAAGATGGTGGGTGTGTTCCCCTGCCCCTATGCCAAATGTCTTGGTCTGTCCCAGATTATTTCCAGTAATGTGTAGTTTGTAATTAATTAGCTGCCTGTTTCATGTGAGGGGCCAATCTGTAAAAGGGTCAGCTCTTTTCTGCTTGGTGCTGATGGCAGCTCTTTGTGAGAGCTGAGGCTGGGCATAGCCCTGAATACTTCTTGCTGCATCAATTTCTGATCTCTCTGCTCTTTTCAGTGGAATAGGGCCCGAGGAGGAGCCAGCATAGCATCTAATAAAAGTTCATGAAGGGCTCCTTGGGAGATTCTTTCTTTCCCCTGTGGATATGTGGTCAGCAGTGGGTTTTTGAGCCTAGCCTTGCTGTGTGGAGTTTGCTGCCCTGCAGGTGGAGGTTGGGATGTCTTCCCCTTCCCAGAAATTTGTACTCCGCAGTTTGAGTGGGCCTGCCTGGCTACAAAGAATCTCAGGTGCTCAGCTCCTTTCTGTCCAGTTCCCAGCTCACTGCTCTTGCAGGAAACAGACTCAAACCCTCTTTTCTGTATGTATCCCTCCCCAACCCCCATCACCAGCTATGCTGGATAGGGCCCTGCAGTGTGCAGCCTTCCACTCTTCCTGGCTAGCTGGGGTCAGCAGGCATGAACCACATTTTGAATCTGGTCCCTTTGCTGGCCGAGCCGTTGTGTATATGTTTGGGTTCCCTACTCAGCCATGCCTCTGCTCCTGTCTTTAAAAAAGTCCCTATGTGTCACCCACACTGCAACCCTGAGCCACTGCCTGGCTCTCTGTACACTGCACTTCCCCCAAAGGAAGTCTTTCTTGGTCAGGTCTGGCCACAGCCTGCCTCCAACAGTCTTAGGAGCTAGAATTTCTCTCTTGAACTCTCCCAGTTGGTGTTGCAGCTGTAGACATTCTGCTTGCTCTGTGTGTGCAGCCTGAGTCTCCCAGACACCATATATTTTCCCAAGTGACTCCTGATCAGTGTTGGGTACTCCCTGTTTGGGACTGGGGTCCCTACCCCACTCCAAGAGGAGCGGAAGCTACTAAGCTGTTTTTTTTCTCCTTTGTTCTCTCCTCTATTGCAGAGACCTCATGCAGGGTACCCCCCCTTCAACTTATAAAGTCTCTTACTTGATGGAGCAAAGCCTCCTCTTTACTCCTTGGCTTCAAAATTCATATCAGCTAAGATTCTGTTGATTGTTGATGAGGTCACTTGTTGGAAGATCAGCTGAAAATCTGCACTGGGGGCAGGAGCAAGTGGGCTCAGGCTTCTACCTACTTGGCTGCCATCTTATGCCCTCTGCACTTTGGGTCTGTAGATTTATGCCTAATGGTTGAGCATGTTGTGCCCAGCAGTTAATTTAGTGGTTCCTCTGATTATATGACAATCTATTGCATGGTCAGGTGGTACTTTTGGCTTCTTGATTTCTTTGTTTTATTTTCACTTGTTTTAGAGTATTTCAACACACATTGGAAATAGCAAATGTAAAAGTAGCATCAGTTCCCTCCAGGAGAAGGATGCAGACATTCAAATAGGTAGTTGAACATGATTGCCATGTTGGAAGTGGGGGAACATGTATAGACATAGGGATGGATCATCTAGGGCAGGGTGTCTGTGCATGAGGATGCTCTGGAGAAAAAGAGGCTTTAGAGCTGAAGTGCGAGGAGTGAATAGGAAAATAGAAAGGAATAGGAATAGGAAAAAATTCCAGTGTGTTCAAAGCTGTCTGTTCAGGCTGGGTGCACTGGAGCATGTAAGGTGAGCTGCAGGAAGTGAAATGGTTGTTAGGCAGGACCATAGAAAGGAAGCCCTAATGAGAGTGCCCAGGAGGTTTTGTTTTGTCTCGAGGGAAGAGGCCTGCTGTTGATTGGTATAGATCAGACCAGTGGGAAGTTGGATAAGTATGGGGAAAAGGCCCTGGCTGGTGTGGCTTAGTGGACTGAGCATCAGCCTGTGAACCAAAGAGTTACCAGTTCAATTCCCAGTCAGGGCAAATGCCTGGGTTGTGGGCCAGGTCCCCAGGAGGGGGCACGAGAGAGGCAACCACACATTGATGTTTTTCTCCCTCTCTTTCTCCCTCCCATCTGCTGTCAAACTAAATAAAATATTTTTTTAAGGAAGAATGAGAAAGAAGAGTGAGAGTAGAGTGAGGTTGGAGACCAGCTAGGAGGGCAGTACACTGAAACGTTAAGCGAAGCGTGGCAGGAGTGAGAGCAGAGCCGGAGCCCTTCCTTTGTTTTTCTTAAATGGCTGCATGTCACTTTTGTTTCCTTATAAACTATTTAAAGGTGAGTGAGGTTGGGTATTTTTCCTCATGCTTTTTGTTTTAGGTCAAATGGTTTTGGCATTATTATACTTAATTTTAAAAAGTAGATATTAATTACAGCCAGAAAATAAACTAATGTAAACTAAAGTGCATTTTTGAATTTTTTTAAATTTAAAGTTGAGTGACATGAACACATTATTGGCAAAATGCTTTAGTTATGCTTGAGAATAAAAAATGGGCTGGACTGAAAGTTTTGAAAGTTGGTATTAGAGAGCATGCTTAGCTTGAGCAAATACATTCACATTTGTTTATACAGGTATTTTTAAGGCTCTTAACTTAAACTGTGGATCTGAAATGCAGTTGCTTCTTCAGAGTGCCAGTTGCACTTAAAAAGAATGTTGTACTCTGCACTGTCTGAGAGTTCCTTAACTATTCACATGGCAAATAGGGTGGTTGGCCCTTTATTCCAAAACAGTGGAATATGTTTGAGGTATAGACATTCAGAGAGTTATCTCCAGTCACCAAATAGCCTAAATTCACTTTTCATGTAAAAATCCAACTAAAATGCATTTTACTAACTTTATGTGATTTTTGAATAGTAATTGAGCTCCCTTTTTTGTGACCTACAGGAGATACGGATTTAACCGCCAGAGCAAAATAGAGAAGGTAAGAAAAGCATATATAATAGGAGAGAATATTTGAGAGATGGAAGTAACCCTCCCTTTTGTCTCTGTCTGACACTAACAGGCTGCCCAGCAGGGGTGGGAAGGCAGGGCTACTGCCAACCAGGCTCTGGTCCTTGGGCAATCCAGGGCTGTGAAGATGTGCACCAGTCTGGGGGAGCTGAAGCAGCAGCCCCATCTGGGGCTGGAAGAGAAGGGTGATTAGATGTCATGGCCCTTGGGTCAATCCTGTGGGCTCTAATAATTCTAAAAGTGTGAAGGTGAAGTCTACTGCCAAGACCCTACGCACTCCTCATCTAGTGAGAAAGACCACAGACAGGTGCAAACTGGATACTGGCAGTGAAATAGAACACAGCCATAAATTACAGGCCCTCCTCTGTACTAGGATAGCTAGCGTGGAAAAATCAGGTAAGTGAAGATGGATTTTTCTAACTTCACAAATTAGTCTTGAAGATTTTTCTTCATTCTTGTGTTTATTAATGATCCTTAACATCAGAAGCAGGGCATGCATATAATCTTACAGTGCCAGACCTTTACTGTGCTCCAGGCCCTTTGTTCAGAGCTCCACATGTGTTTTTTTTAATTACTCCTCTAAACAGCTCTGAGGGACATGCTCATTCCTATATTTCAGGTTAGAAAGGTGAGGCCCAGAGAGGCTCAGTAATTTGTCCAGGATCACACAGATTCTTAAGTGCCATATTAAGAATCTGAATCCAGGCTCGTGTGACACCGAGTATGCACTCTTGACCACTTCCTTTAAAATAATAAAGTGCTAACTAAAATAGTCAATTAACTCTTAACCAAAGTTCTGCAGCCTGAGGTCTATTAATAATCTTTTTTCTCATTCCTCACCCCCGGATTTTCTGGAATGGGATACCACTCCTCCTCTTGTTCTCTTGCCACCCTTCCTTCTGTCTAGGTTCCACATCCTTCACATTTTCTTTCTGGGGGCCTTCCCTGAGTCCAGCCTCCCTCTGCTTCCTGGGGTAGTTGTTGTCTCGGTCATTGGAGGCCCTGACAGTGATTAAAGCATGTGTTCGAAAGCCGGGCTTGCTGGTTTCAGATCCTAACCTCATGCCTTCTCTGCGTGACTTTGGGCAGTATGCTTAATTGTTGTGCTTTAGGTCCTAGCATCTATAAAATGGGGGCAATAATTGTACTACCTTGCAACATTGTGAAGATTAAAATACAAAGAACACAGAATGATCCATACATTTTAAACATCTAGTTATTATTATTATTTTATTAGCAATTAGTCATGCATTGGTTGTATCTTTTTTGGTTTTCTTGTTATTTATTTTTTCCACATTTGTGTTTTCACTCAACTAAACAGTCATTTCTTCTAAAACAAGGCATTTTTGGGATTTCAGTATGTCATGTGGCATCTGATATATAAGAATTTGATGCCTACATTTAATTTGATCTCTAATTTCAGCCTGACAGGAATGTTTATGCATATGACTATATCCTAGAAAAAGGCAGCTTGATTATGATTGGAAAAATCATGAAATGCCCATGAAAGAGTATTCACATCAGCCCCATCTTCTCATTATGTCAGATGGCACATTTGAACTGGAAGTCTTATCCCCTATAGATACACACAGCAGTTGGGAGCTAGGTTGTTCCCCAGAGTCAGTTGTAGACTTGTTTTAGAAAAGCATTCCAGAATTAGGATTGTGTGAGAAAGATATTTGAAAACAATCTTCCCTTTCAACCTTAGAAGACCCTAATATCCAGAGAAGGTAAGTCCAAGGTCACTCAGCTGATAGATGTCAGAGGTGGATTAAAACCAAGAACTGAAGACTCCCAGCCCATGTTTGAGGAGCTGTAGTTAATGCATATATCTTAAGTGTGGTGTGGTACATTTAGAGCCTGAGACTAGATACAGAATATGGAGCTTGGTCACCAGGTGAAGCAGTTTAGATTTTCATCCTTTAGGCCAGTGGCTTTCAAATTTTGTTGACTTCAAGTTTCATGAAGCAGTATTTAACCCTTGACTGCCTGCATAGCACTCTGATGTGTTCATTCTTTATTATTTTTATTTAATCTGTTTAGATACTCATCCTACCTAAATTATTTTTGTGTCCCACTAATAGGTGTCAACTGGCAGTTTTGAAAAGCACTCCTTTGGGCATTGATTTGTTCTTGAAAGCATTAAAGTAAGGGAAAGACCCTATCAAAATGTAAGGATAAGTCTGGCAAATGTGAATGATTTCATAGGGATTTAACCGGCAAGCAGTTGAGTAATAGAGACAGGCATTCATTGGCTGGGGTCTGAAGCTCAACCTGCTTGCTCTGATGTTGGAATGGAAACTCAGGTCTCTGGAGTTTTCCTTCCAGAGAATCAATCTTTTGCAGGGATTGGTTCAGCCCTCCAGATCTGTGTGTTTTCTTTCACAGACTCGTGCCTCTTTGCAGTATTGTCCTTTCTCTACTCAGTCTCCAACTCCGATGCTCAGCTGATTTTGCATCTTGCCTTCTAGGCTGAGGACAAGAAAACAGCACTTCCCACAGGGCTCTTGGCTGCAGAAAAAGCTGATGCTCGGGAGGATGACGAGCTTCAAGCAGCTGAAGAGGTGTGTGGCCCATGTAGGTCCCCTGAAGGTTCTGCTTAACCATTTGGGGAGAAATTTCACTTTCATTCCCAGCTTTCCAGAATGGCCAGGTGCTTCCCTCAGCCAGCTGCTATTAGTTGACCTTTCACACCCTTTTCAGTTTCCTTTTATCACCTAACAAGATTCACCATAAAAATGAAATGAAGTAAAATAATGTCCTGTTTAGACATACCGTGTTAGTCTTAAGTGGTCAGATCCACTCACTGCTACTTCTCTGCATTCCTCTTTTAGCAGCGTATTCAGTCATTGATGACCAAGATGACTGCCATGGCAAATGAAGAGGTGAGGTGGGAGTGGTTGTGGGGAGGGCATGGTGTAGAGACAGGGACTTGGAACCAACCTGCCTAGCTCTCTGGGGCCTCTTCCCAGAGGGACCACCTTCTTCAGAGCCTTGTCTTCTCAGCACCTGGTGTTTCCTGCTTCCTAGGGCTCTTTCTTTTGAGAAGTTTTTTTATAGTGTTGCCATCCATGGTAACCCCTAGGAGGAAAACTTGAGGGACCCTTGTGAAGGCAGGATGTTCCTGCTGGGATAGTACCATATGGGCCTCAGCGGGAGAGTGATGGTTCAGTTCTCCTTCTTCACGACCATGAGTTACATCCCATGCCTAAGGAACCACTGTCTTCTGTTTCTTTCCTACCATCTAGGTAGAAAACAATACCAAGTTTAGAGTTGGTCTCAGAAGTCAAGGGCTTTCCAGGAGGTTTAATGAAAGACTTTGAAAGGATCATTTCTTTGGAAAGGATCATTTCAAGGAAAGACCTGTGGTAGAGATATTTTAGGAGTTCTGAGATTCTTCTTCCACTTGTGCTTCCTTTTTCCTTTGGTCCTAAGGCTGTAAACTTCCCTATAGGATCTGTGTAGTGACCTTTAGGAAGAGAGACTTTGGGATGGAGTATATAGGATGAAGAATGATTTTCCATTGTTATCCGAAATCCCAAGAGAATCTGGCAGTAAGCTGAGTGCCTCAGGAAGTGGAGAAGGTGGCTTCACATTTGTTCTGAAGCTTATTTTCTCCCTTCCTTGTTGATGAATACATAAACAAAAGCCAAACTGTTTTCTCCCTTGGGAATATCTATTTTGCTGTAGTGCTAAGTTTTTCAGAGTGTTCGGTTTTCCAATTCTGTGAAGGACAAGACATGGCCTTGAGAACACACCCTCCCTCTGATTGCAGAGCCATCTCACCGCAAGTTCTGTGGGTCAGATCGTGGGACTCTGCTCCGCTGAGATCAAGCAGATTGTGTCTGAGTATGCAGAAAAGGTACGTGGGGGCTCAGCTGGTGTCTGCCTCAGGTAATGCCCCAAAGATTTGTGCTTTTTCTGTATACCCTTCCCTAGCAGAGGCAGATTGTAATTCATCAGGTACGCTTGTCAAAAAACATATGTCTCACAAAACCATCAGCATTTGCCCATTAACTAAATTAATTTTCTTTTCAGTGCCTATTTTTCTACAAACATAAAGAGAAAACCTGTCTCCCAGAACAATTATCGCATCTGGTAAATCAGTGCCTGAGATACAGCACAGGCATTTTTCCTTCTCTACCAAGCTTCTTATGACTTGGGCTCAATTTGGTAATTGGACTGAGGAGTGAAGCTTTGCCACTTGGGAGATAAATCCCATAACTCAGCCAAGCCCAAGGCAAAATTTTTTGTTCCACTTTATTTAAAGGGTATAGAATGAACACAAGCCTGAAAGTGATATTTCAGTGTTATATTTTTTTCATGCTGAGAATAGGCAGCAGGACCTTGAATATCTCATGGAAACAGTGATTAATCATTTTGTACAGAACTGATTCTGGTGTGGCCGAGATGTAGTATCAGTAAAATCAAATTTACAAGGCATTGTTTCACATCCTTTCTTCCCCACCATACTCATTCTGCCCCCCTTAAAACGTTCATGTCTTTTGAAACATCCAGCTTTGCTTTCCCTGTCTCAGAAGCCTTGTCAAAAAATTAGCTCTGCTTTGACCCCTGTGCAACAGCCTCCTGAAGTAATTATGCAGGTGATGTAATTGGGAGGGGATGTCACAGCAGGTGGTCATCTTCCAATTAAACTCAAAAGACGTGAAGATGTAGTTATGTACTTTTAGAATAATCTAAATCCTTTTCTGGGCAAACCTCAGAAGGCACTTTGACCACTGTCACCTTCCCTTTGTTGTAAATTGAAATAGAGGACATTGAAATCTATGAAAGTTGGATTAGAAAACCCATGTTAAGAAACATTGGCTTGAGGCATGGGGGCAACAGAACCTCTCCCCCAGACAGTCGAAACCAGCTTACTCACTGTCTCGCTTAGAAGGCCAGAAAAAAGTAAAATTACAAATAGTTTTGGACAGCTCTTTTTCCAAAGACATATAATTTAATTTCTTAGAGAGAATTAGAGGTCAAGAGTTCATTGCTTGCTTATCTGTGTTGTTCACATTGAGTAGATCATATAGCATTAAAGATGATGATTTTTAAAATTGCCTTTAATCTAATCCCATATCACAGTTATTTCACATTTGCATTTTATCTTCTAGTGTTTGTTTCTGATACCATAGTTGTACCTAGTTGCAGTCATTGTATATTTCTAAAAGAGATAGAACAGCAGGGTTAAAAACACAGCATTTGGAATCATATTGCGGCTCATATCTGTCTCCTCTATTCCCAGCTATGTGATGAAAGCCAATTTATTTGACCTCTCCTTGCCCTTAGTATCTTTTGTAAAATGGAAATAATATTACTTTCCTGGCAGGGTGTTGTGAAGATTAAATGAACTGACCAAAATGCCTAAAATAGTGCCCGGCACATTATAGCTGTTCAGCTAATGGGTAACCTTTATTTGCATTTTTATAGTCTGCATTTTTGTGGTCTCATCAGACCCTAAACATTTTCTGTTTTAGCCTTCATGATTATGTGAATACTAGGTAAGCCATGTGTTGATTCAACACAATCCATTAAACATTTTCCTATTGTTAGACTTTTGTTTCTGTTTGCCATTGTAGATAACACTGTTGTAAAGCCTGAGCGGGTATTTTCTGCTAAAACGTTTCCTGGGAGTTGATGACTGGGTAATGACTCCTCTGTATTGCCTTATAAATAAGTTGTAATAGTATAAAATACTATCAGTAATGAAGGGCCAAAGACCACTAAGGACACACCTTTAGTTGAACAAGTTGAGTTTATTGCTGGTTCTACAGGGAGACCGACCACACTGCAATGGGGAACTATGCAGCATCTCAATAAGGAGGTAGTAGAAAAGACTTGTTATAGGATTTAGCCTTGTTTTAGGTCATTGGGTGAAAGTTCAAAAGCATAATGCTTTGCTCTGTATTGGATGCTTTAAGGAAGGGCAATTGAATGAATGGACATCTAAGTAAATCTCATGTATATATACATTGGGGAGTGAATCCTGGTTAAAGCTGTGTACTTATTATTAGCCAGTATAGGGGGATGTTTGGTCATTTGAGGGATTTGATCAATGTTCAGGTTTTTGTTCATGTTCATACATGATTACAGAATGGTCATAATTTTTGCTTCTGTCTTCATGACCTTGTCTGGTGTTGATGTTTTTTGGAATTGTTTGTGGTTAACACCAAGGCCTAGTATAAGTACAGAACAGCTCAATCAACATCAAGGCCTTGCTGAGGTCAGCTCTCTTTCTTTTATGGGTTTATTGTTGTTGTTGTTGTTAAATTAGTTATCTATTGCTGCATTGCAGTATTATCACAAATGTGGCTTAAAACACCACATGTTTATTATCATATAGTTTGTGTGGGTTAGCACTTGGGTACAGCGTAGCAGAGTTCTTTGTTTTAGACTCTTAACAGGTTGCAATAGAGATGCTGCCTAGGGCTGCCATCTCATCTGAGGCTCAGTGAGTGAGGGAAGAATTCACTTCTGAGCTCTTATGGTTGTTGGCAGCATTTAGTTCTTGCTGGCTGTCAGCTAGAGGCTACCTTTATTTCCTTGCCATGTGGGCCTCCCCAACATTGTCTTGTTTCATCAAGGCAAGCAAGAGAGCACTTTCTCACAAGACACATTACAGTTTTATCTAATATATTTATATACATGCAATCACATACATCTCATATTCTTTGCTGTATTCTAGAAGCAAGTCACAGGGTCCACCCACTCAGTGGGAGGTATTACACAAAGGCCTGAACTCTAGGAGGCAGAGATTATGGGGTCATTTTAGGATTATCTGCCACAGTGTGTTTTTTTCTGTCTTTAATTTTACTGCCTTTAAATTGAACTTAAACAGGCACTGCCAGTTTATCTAAAACCCATGTCCCTGCCTTCAGGGTCTCAGCAGTGAAACTGTTGGACGTAGAGATGGGATTGAGGAATGCCCGGAGGGAAGTCATCAGTGGTACTTTGAAAGAAACCCAAATTAGGCTGAGATCAGGACAGATTTTTGCTTAGTGAAGAAAAGGGACAAATAGTTTGGGGAGGATGAAAATGTGAAAATTATTTTGTAACCAAGGAATGAATCAAACAGCCTGCCTGGTACAGGCATTTAGAAAGTTGACAGACAGTGGGATATAAAAATAAGATATATATATATATATATATATATATATATATATATATATTTTTTAATATATGCATATGTATATGCAGGCTTCTCTTTTCATTTGTTAGTTCAAAAGTCCTTTTAACAATGTAACATGATAAATAATCCACACATTTCAAAGCAAGTCTCTGAAATATGTAACTCAATATAGTTCCTATAAAGCATAAGGGAAAAGGAACATGAAGAAGCTTCATTCATATAATTCATGGGTGTCAGTAGGCTCTTGGCCAAGGAGCACCATCTCCCTTTGTTTCTAAAGGGTAATACCCTTCTTAAAATGTGCTAGATGAGACTCAGAACCATCCTAAATTGAGTTAAATGGAAGTCTTACAAATACAGAATTAAAGAAACCACACCCATCCAGGCTGGTCCTCCATCCACAAGTGGTGGATAAAAATTTGGGGAGGGATATCTGAGGAGTGAGGAGTCCCAGCCCCACATTAGGCTTCCCAGCCCAGGGTTCCAGTGCCAGGAATATAAGTCCCCATAACTTCTGGCTGCAAAAACCAGCAGGGATTGAGTTAGTGGAAGAAACTTCTGGAGTCCCAAGCAGTTCCCCTTAAAGAACACACACACAGACTTACTCAGTCTCACTCCCTCTGAGCTCCAGCACCATGGTAGCAACTTGAAAGGCACCAGTAGCATACAGGGAGGAACTGAAGTGTCTGGTGTCTGGCATCAAGGCAGGAGCTAGGGGACAGCTTTCTCACAGACAAAAAGGCAGGCAGAAACCACTGTCTCTTCTCTGAGCCCTCCCCGAACAGAGCCACAGAGCCAGTGGGTAGGTGCCATGTCTGAGACTCTCAGCCTGGCTAAAACACTGTTTGTCCAGCCCTGGAGATCCCCTGAGACTCTGCCCCATCTAAGCTGTTAACTCTCACTTAAAAGAATAATTTAAGAGGGCTTTGGGCTGAATAAAGATAACTATACCCCAGGAACCTTGCCTGAATCAGAAGGTGATGGGAAGTTTAGCAACCAGCAGGCTCTGGATCCTTTATTAAGGAATCAGGCCTAAGGGTGATTTCTAATAAGTTTAGATGTGAATATTTCTAATTCCATCATCTGGTTACACCCCCAAAAATCGTTTTTACCATTTTTCTATGGAGTAGAAAGTCTTCCTCACTGGCATATGGAGTAGAGGAAGAATGTGGGGCAAAGGAGGAGTTGACTTCTTGGGAACCTCTTGCTGTGGCCACAGACGGAAAAACCCAGGTTGGGATCAGGAGGGTGAGAGCAGAAGTGGATTTTTTTTTTAAAGATTTTGTTTATTTTTAGAGGGGAAGGGAGGGAGAAAGAGAGGGAGAGAAACATCAGTGTGTGGTTGCCTCTTGCGCACCCCTTACTGGAGACCTGGCCTGCAACCCAGGCACATTGTTCCCTGACTGGGAATCGAACTGGCGACCCTTTGGTTCAGAGGCCTGCACTCAGTACACTGAGCCACACCAACTAGGGCAGGGGGTGGATTTTTATAACCCTTCCTTCTAGACTTGTTTCTTCACATAAGGTCACAGGTGTTAGACAAATCATATCTGAAATCTGTATACTTCTGGAGGGCCAGGATTTCATCTTTTGTCTCTGTTGCCGAACATTACTGAGTAGAGGCTAACGAATGACTGGAAGACTGTGGAGTCTCACCAGATAGCCATGACAGGTGACTTTCCTTCTTAAGATGGGTCCCTCTGTGATGTTGTGTGGATCAGCTCATT